GAGGATTGTACACCATGCTTCCAGGTCGGGTTATTTTGCAGGAGAATGTGCATTACAATGTCACTGCCACACTGGTGACAGTCAGGACTTCAGCTTCCACAGGCTCAGAGTGACTTACATTTCCCCTCAGCTGCAGGTTTGGGTGCAGTCCCTGGCTTTGACCTCAGGAGCCATTTGTCACTCTTTCTGAGCACTGTTAACAAAGTGGGTGCTACTAGTTCAGGGAGGTGTCCACCCAGCTCTTGTGTCCATAATCCTGACTTTTCATCTATTTCTAAAGGAAGTTGAGGTGTCTGTGTTCTGACTTACTCTTAGAGAGACTTTGAGAAGGAGAGTTACTTTTGGCTGGGCTCTCAGGTTTCTTGGAAGAAGTGACATTTGAAATGAGACCAAAAGGGCATGGGGTGGGGGGCACATTAGGGGATGGAGAGAGGAACCAATACGTTGGGAACGGGAACAGGAGGTGGTTCAGAGAAGGGTCACAAGGTGCCGGACTTGGTGGTATTTCTGAACTTCGGCTGCACATTAGAATTACTCAGGGGAATTTTTCTTTAAATATAGATATGCTGGGCTCCCCTCCAGATCAGATGAATTGGAATCTTTTGTAGAGGGGCTGAAACCTTCCTGTTTCTGTAAAGCCCAGGAATTATTCTCCGGTGTGTATAGAGTTGAGAAACTTCGAGCTGTGCATAGAACGCAGGAAGCGGAGTCCTTGGGGATGTGCCAGACCAGCGGGTGGGTTCGGAGCGGTTTCTGGCTTTATGTTTTTAAAGCCATATGGCTTATTACTTTTCTCACCACAGACAGTGTTATATGTAAAAGGGATAAAATAAATCTCTAAAATTTTTGTTTGGAGGAAAGAAAAGTATGTTGTTAAGATTGTCAACATAAGAAACATCCAAACCTGGAGATGGTTTTTATAAGCATTTATTTGAGCCAAAACTGACGACAGTTGTCAGGAAGCAGGATCTCAAATGTTCCAGAGTGGTAGTTTGCAGTTTCTTTTACGCATGTGGAATGAAGGAGGAAATATAAGCAGCACGACATGCAGTGGGAGAGAGCAAGGCAGGGTTAGATTACAGGACAGGTAACAAGAGTATGTACTCTTTGGAGGGTGGTTACACCTTGGAGGGGTATTACTTCTGGCATTTCAGAGATGTGTTAACCTAGATGCACAAGAACCATGGACAGAGCTTGCTTAAAAACTAAAGAAGTTATTTGCCTGCAGCACCATTACCCACCATGACTTGCCCAGTGAGGCAACACTCCCTTTTCGACACGAGGTACCATGTGTCCAGACACTGTGCTTGGAGGTTTATTTTGAGAATTGTGTTACAAAACCATTGAAATCATGAGAGATGAGCCCTGGCTGGTGTGGCTCCGTGGGTTGGGCATCGTCCTGTGCGTCAAGAGTTTGCTGGTTCAATAACCAGTCAGGGCACATGCCTAGGTTGCCGGTTTTTGTGTTTTGTTTTGTTTTTTTATCCTCACCCGAGGACATTTTTCAATATTTTGTTCAGATAGAGTGGGAGGGAGAGAGAGAGAGAAACATTGACGTGAAAGGGACACATCGAGTGGCTGCCACCCACACGACCAACCAGGGCCGGGGACAAACTGCAACCGAGGTACATGCCCTTAGCCGGAACCAAACCCGGGTCTCTCTGGATCGGTCGACGCTCTAACCACTGAGCACAACTGGCCAGGGCTGGGTTGCAGGTTTGATAGCAGGTAGGGGGTGTGCAAGAGACAGCCAACTGATGTTTCCCTCTCTCTTCCTTGCTCTGTAAAAAGTCAATAAAAATTTTTTTTCAAAATCACAAGAGACGTTCTAGGGAGTCAGAATCCTAATTTCCTGGACTTTGCTTTGGTAGGGTAATGAAAACACATGTTCAATAGTAAGAGGCTGTGAGTGTTGAAGGAAAAGTGTTTTAAAAGGGGCTGGGTTTTGAAGTCTGTGGATTCAGACCACAGCTTTGCCACTTACTAGCTGTGACACAAGTGACACGTCCTCCTTGAGCCTTGTGTTTTCAGCCTTAACCCACAGGTTTGCTCTGAGATCTGAATGAAACACGTTGGGAGGGCACTTGGTGGCATGCTTCCCCAAGCAGCAATAACATAATTTTTATAGAGTATACACATTTATTAAACTCATTAAACCTCATTCCTGAGTTTACATTACATTTTGTTCTAATAGGAGGCATGCACAGCAAGAGACAGGCAAAAGCTGGGCGTGCAGAGTCATCCGTCCCTGAGATGAGTTGGGGAAACAGAGACTCTATTTGCTAGAATTCACCAGGGGCTTTTCCTCGGGAGCTGCAATTTTTAAATGTAAAAAAAAGGTAGAATCCTCTTTCAGTACTTTGCAGGAACACAGCTTTGAACAGAAACAGCAGATAAATATATTCTGCACAATTTCTTTGGCTATACCACTCACAAGTTCTTCCTGTTCCTCCGTTTTCTGGGTCTATAAAGATATTACGGAACTTTTGTTTTACTCCTCTGGTCAATTTCAAGCTCCTTTGAAGACTCATCTTACACTAGGTGACCTCAGAAATATCTAGTTTCACTCTATTCCCCAGTCTGTGCAAATAGTGTCCCTTCTTATCGAATAAAATTAGAGAATGTTTCCAGCTTGAACGAAGGTAAAGGGAGGGTTTTGTTTTGTTTTTTTAAGGGCTCCAGGAAGACTTTTTATACCTGTTTGTTTTTAAGTATGTTTACTCCGTTATCTGAACCAGTTAATAACTGGATGATAAGATTTGAGGTAATGGCATTTTTTTTTATTTTTTATTTTTTTTTTTAGCTTACCAATTTCCTTTTTATTCAAAGTCTTAAAGACCTTTTGTGAAACAACATCTGAAAATGTAATTCATGTGTGTGTACTAGTAGAATATGTTCTGACCTCCGGCGCCACCAGGAAAACAGTTTATTATGATACATGGAATCTTGCTGAGATAAAATAGCCTATTTTCACAACTTGAGTCATAAAGTGCGTTTGTATTTATTTCATTGAAAGAATTGAGAATTCAGCTTGGTAATATTGGAGTTAAAATATTGAGACTTCCTCCCAGAATCATGTGCGATATCTCCACCTAGTGGACACAGTGGTGTACTCCTTCCTACTCCTTTCACCAATTGTTACCAGTGGAATGCTGTAGCCCAGCTTTAAGACGAATTAAGGCTAATTGGAGAAAAAAACATTTTGGATGATAACTTGATCACCACAGATGGAACAATAAGAAATAAATCAGAAAACTTATTTTATCTGTTATAAGGCAACCATTAAGGGAGTTTCTTATTGTATTTAGAGTTGTTCAATGTAGAAATTTCTGGATGACCAGATCTGCATTAAACAGTATTTTCATCCATTTGACTGTCTACACTGAATGTGAAGATATTTAGTTAAATAGCTAAATTTCAGATGGGGGAAATAAATGGCCTTATATAGAGTAGCTTAGAAAAAATTAGTTTCTGAAAATAAGAATGCTAATTTTAAATGGAAAAATAAAAAGACATGAGTTCTTAACAATTAGATTTTGTTTATTTGTTTGTTAATCCTCACCTGAGGATATTTTTCCTTTACTTTTTAGCTAGAGTGAAAGGGAACAAGAAGAGAGAGAGAAACATCAATGGGAGAGAGACAAATTGACTGGTTGTCTCCCACACGTACCTACAACCCAGTACATACCTTTGACTGGGAGTCGAACCTACGACTCTTTGGTCCATGGACCGACGCTCTAACTGCTGAGCCAAACTGGCCAGGGCTTAATTATTAGATTCTAATGAAGTCGTTTCTATCCTACCTTGTTTTTATTTGTTAAACTTATTTACAAATTAAGTAGCTTATCAGTGCCTCAGTTTTTACATTTGCAAAATGAAGGTGTGTTAACGCTCACAAAAGATTTACTGGATGGATGGTTATGTGCCTAGCACATTGATAGGTGTGGGAAACACAATGATGAACAAAGCACAGTTCTTGGTAGCAGAGAACACACTCTCTAGAGGAATACATAAAGAAATCCTTTCAAGATGAGACAATAAGAACAGTAATATACCCCAGCACGCAGTATTACCAAGGAATACTAGTTGTTAGCTCAGCCCCAGAGCAAGTGGCGTTAATGGTCAAGGAAGGCTGCATGGAGGAGGCCAAACCCTGGAATAAGGATTAAAGGATAAGTGAGAATGAATAAGCAAGGAAGGATGGGGGTTGGGGGACTGAGAGGACTCTCCAAGACGAGGCTACCAGATATAGATTTGTAAGATGACATGGAGCATTTGACAAAATCAGTGTTTGGGGGACTCTTAAGGGAATATGAACCCTGTTAAATGCACAGAGTAGGATCCCAAAGGGACTTTGATCTCGCAAATAGGGGCAGTAGGAGAGCCCCAGAGGTATCCCAGGAGGCCTGCCCTGGGCTGTCTGGCAGACTTGGCTTCCTTTTTGCTGGTTGACAACTGGCATTTTCGTTTAATCCCTCCAGAGAGTGAATGTATTGCTTGGGTTTAGAGTCAGACTGGCATGACCTCTTCAGTGGAGTCCAGTGTCACTGCACTGAACAAGTAAATTGTGAAGAATACTGGATGGACTCACTAAACGGAAAATCAGCGAAGTGCTAATGCTGCCAAGGCACCTTCAAACCCAGAGGTTGTGACTGACTTTGGAAATAAATGTCCAGATCCGTGGTGGTTCTACCCACTGCCCAGTAGGCGACATCTGCCTTTCACTGGGAGTTTTGTTTCTGCATTGCCAGTGGTTGTAGGTGTTTGTTTTCATTTGGTTTGGTTTGCTGACTGAGAGTAAAAAGAAGAATTATTGATAATACAAAATCATTACATTTGAAGCTACGCATTTAATTAGTTAGAAAATGAATTGTTTGTTTTAATACTTATTTCCATTCCTTATTTATGTCTGGCATCAAAAGAACCAGTGTCTCCTAAACTTCAAATGGCCTTAAAGACTTAGTGAAGTCCTTAAATGAACACAACTTTTGCCTTCGCAGATACAGGCTAGTTCCAAAGGTGTATTTCCCCGAGCAAATCCACGATGTTGTACGTGCCACCAAGTATTTCCTGCAGCCGGAAGTCTTACAGAAGTATTCGGTCGACCCAGGCAGAATCGGCATTTCTGGTGACAGTGCTGGTGGGAATTTGGCCGCCGCGCTGGGCCAACAGGTAACAGACTGCTCCGGGGTGCTGGCGGGAGGGGGTGCATGACAACACCGAGTCTGACACACTCCACGTGGCCTGGCAGAGGCTTAGCCAGGTGGGCAGGTCACTGGCGAGGTCACACAGATGGCTGAACTTGGAGAGCACTCAGAGATCTTCCTGGAAACAGGAGAGGGCTCCCTGAAAGACATGTCATCTCCGAGTCCGTGTAAAGGCCCCACACGATCAATACCAGGAGAAGCCTAACATTTTACAGGCTCCCTTGTTCCTCAGGGATTGCCGTGAAATTAAGTATCTCCTGCTTGTTTTCCATGTTGGACTTCTAAACATGGAACGTTTTTGCTTTTTTTTTTTCTTAAATTACAATTGCTGAGAACTTACAACCAAATTAAAAAGTGTCTCTCAATTTTTTTTTAAATATCAAAGAAAATATTGCATGGTTTGCCACTTTATTTTTACTTTTTTTAATTTTATTTTTTTATCCTCAACCAAGGACAGTTTTGCATTTATCTTGAGATAGAACGGAAGGGGGGGAGGGAAGAAGAGAGAGGGAGAGAGACATTGACATGAGAGACACACTGAAACTGCAACCAAGGAACGTGCTCTTAGTGGGAACTGACCACAGGCCTCTCTGTCTGCGGGCTGACGCGCTAACCACTGAGCAAACTGGCCAGGGCATGCCACTTTAAATGTACTAATAAATCCGAGTTTTATCTGGTTAAAGCCTTTGAAAACAAAATTTGGGGCAGCTGTATACATTCAAAGATAAGTACATTTCCTTCCAGTTAAGGATTTGACAAGAGACAAATTCTGAGCTGTCCTAAATTAGATTACAGCGGGCTGGGGGGCAGGAGGAAGAGGGAAGAGGTAGTCAGTTAAAGAGCCTCGGGCCCAAACCTGCAAAGAAAGTTCCTGTTCCTGAGCTGATGGCAGGTTAGAACTTGGAATGAACTCCCAGTCGCCAGTCGCCAGGCACCACTACATCCTGCTTATGCGTGACCTTTCCAGAGTGTTGCCCACAAGCAGCTCAGAAGCAGGAACTACTTCTTCCTTGTGGACCTTGCACCTGTCCCCACATTGCTTTTCCGCCCCCCTTATCTACAGTGTGAATCTTTCAAACAACTCACACCCTTCTTCCCGGAACCCATTGCACAGGACAGCCTGTCAACTGCAGGACAGTGGACACGGCCCTGTTTTCCCTCCAGCCCAGCGGCTGGGGATTCAGACTGCGGCCCCTGGACCTGTTGGTCCGCTCCTGGCCAGCGCAGGGCTCAACCCACCTTTTCTTCCAGAAAGGCTTTGGGCTGCAAAGGTTTTTGTTTAACATACCAAATAAGTTACAGCATCTCTGCTTCTCACCTCCAAAATTTTAGGGGTATTTTCAAGTAGCAGCTGCTTTTTACTTGTGGGGCACCTTGGTTTCTTCCCTTGGCTGTAATTTAAGAACTTGGTTGTCCACTTGGCATCATCCAACTGTGGTAGGAAGTCCTGGTGCCCTGGGGAGGCTTTCAGACCAGACAGACGGGGAAGGGACGCCACCCCCCTCTGGGAGCGCTGGGGCTCTGGGCAAGTCCCTTAACCTCTCTGAGCCTCGGGAAAATGAGGATAATATCGTCTGATCCTGGGGCTGTTGCCAGGACTTAGTGAGATGATGTATATACAATTCTTGACACATATTAATAGTGCTATTTACTGATCACTTACATCTTCCCTGGGGATGGGGTTTTGAAAGCCAGTGTGAAGCGAAATTATATGGCTAAAGGTACCTTGAAGATTGTTTATTTGCCTACAGTGAGCTAGTTAGCCGTCTTTTAGATGTTACACGAAAAACCAATCATTTGAGACACTAGAATTACAACATGAGGCAATGCGATCACAGTTGGGGGAGGCAGGGGGTTGAGATCTGCTGAGGTGACAGGGCCCTCCCCTTTCCCGTTTCGACCTTGCTCTGAGGAGCGTGCTCACTAAGCAGAATGGGGGGTGCATTGCCAGCCTTACGTTAAGTGAGATCTCACCCTCTCAGCAGCCCGAAGGCTGAGTGCTGTCAGAGGAGATACCCTGAGGCCCTACTGAAACGTCTGGAGTCCTGCCATCTGTTCATTTTCCTGCCCTTCTCCTTTGCAAGAACCAGACTAGTTTTTTTCTCCTAGGAAGCCATGCCTTTGGGGGCCTTGCAGGGAACACAGAACAAAATAGGGTTCACACAGTATCCATCCACAATTCTCAGGAAGATGTGCTGAATGCCAGAGGGCAGACACAAGGACCTGTTAATGAGGGTTTAAAGCCCGAAGAGACCATGTACCTTTGAAATGTTCACTCCAAATCACGAGTTGCAAACGTCATACGTTTGCTGGTAAATATCCAGCAGCTTGACCAGGTGTTATTTATTCTTTTAAACTACGTCAATACCATGCCTGCTAGAAAGTTAATAACTGTATCCCTTTGACCGATTGAAAGTAACCCCGTTTTAAGGCGTGGTTTCCGTAAAAGGAACCACGCAAAATAAAATAATATGTTTGCTGCTTCTTCTCCAGTTTAATCAAGATGCCAACCTGAAAAACAAGCTCAAAGTGCAAGCTTTAATTTATCCAGTCCTTCAAGCTTTAGATTTTAACACACCCTCGTATCAGCAAAACGTGAACACCGCAATCCTGCCCCGTTATGTCATGGTCAAGTACTGGGTGGACTATTTCAAAGGCAACCATGACTTCATCCAGGCGATGATAGTGAACAACCACACTTCACTTGATGTGGAAGAGGCTGCCGCCCTCAGGGCCCGTCTAAACTGGACGTCCCTCTTGCCTGCATCCATCACCAAGCACTACAAGCCTGTTGTGCAGACCATGGGCAACGCCAGGATTGTCCAGGAGCTCCCTCAGCTGCTGGACGCCCGTTCTGCCCCGCTCATCGCCGACCAGGAAGTCCTGCGGCACCTCCCGAAGACCTACATTCTGACGTGTGAGCACGATGTCCTACGAGACGATGGGATCATGTATGCAAAGCGTTTGGAGAGTGCAGGTGTGGAGGTGACCCTCGATCACTTTGAGGATGGCTTCCACGGGTGCATGATTTTCACCAGGTGGCCCACCAATTTCTCAGTGGGCATCCGGACTAGGAATAGTTACATCAAGTGGCTGGATCAAAACCTGTGAAGGAGTCGAAGTTCTGGAATGCTTGTGCCCCTCGTGAACCTCCCGCGCCTGCTTTGGAGAGACATGCACTTTGTAGTCGACTAATTTTCCCCTGTTACTCGTGAGTTATGCAATCTCGATCCCCTGCTTTATGTTCATTTAATTTTTTAAAATGCACTTGACTAACGTAAGTCCAGAAAGATCTAAATCTGGTTCTCCAAGTGGGCCAGTCTCTCTGTTCATGCTTTAACCAAACTGCTATGAATACCCATCACTGCAGAGAGCAGGACTAGGAGCTGGAGATAGTTGTGTGTCCTGCCTTCATCCGGAAGTTCTTTTTAGATAACACAGTAACCTTGAATGAGTTAAGAAAGCGTGGGCTCTTCTTCAACGTGCTAGAGTTTACTTTGGGTTGAGAACACTGTTAAATGTGTGCACTTGAAGGTCAGTGCTGGGTACCAAGTGCTGTCTGTCCTTTGTGGGTGGGTGGTTTTGTTTCCCATGGGGATTTTGGCATAGGTGTTCCAGCAAGGACAAGTTTCTCCAGTGATGTTCTTGCAGTGGTTCTCAACCTTCCTAATGCCGCGACCCTTTAATACAGTTCCTCATGTTGTGGTGACCCCCCCAACCATAAAATTATTTTCATTGCTACTTCATAACTATAATTTTGCTACTGTTATGTTTTAGGCAACCCCTGTGAAAGGGTCATTCGACCCCCAAAGGGGTCACAACCCACAGGTTGAGAACCACTGCTTTAGAGTGTTAGTTTTGTGAGATAGCTATCTATAAGTCCAGTTGGATTATGATGACACTTGAAAGTTTTTTTTTCTACCACTATTATTAGAAAATATAAGGTTGCATGCACTGGATATCTGTACATTGTTAAGTTGTTTTGGCTATGCTGTGGCCTAGGGGGAGAACTTTTGGGACCACATTTATTTAAATTTAGAATAAACTTTTCATTGTAGAACAAGTGTAAACAAACAGATCAACCTATTGTTTTCGTAATGAATACTTCTGACATAAATTACCAAGAGCAATGTGTATATATTTGGCAGAGTCAGAAAAAAGGATATGTTTAATATTAATTTAAAATTATGAAAAATACCTGTGGAGGGTCTAGTTTATTCTTGAAAACTCAACTTTTTCATTTACATGGCTTTAAAATGGGGCTATTTTGGAATATATATAATGTATTGTTTATTTTTAAAAGTTATTTAATGTCAACATATGTAGCTAGACCCAAGTTTTTTCAGAATAAAACCTATAATGAATATTAAAAATAATATTTTTTAAAACTACCTTAGAATTATATCCACATGTGATTTTATGGGGAAAGGTAAAATAGCTAGTAATGCTACTATACATCACGCCCGAGTATTTTGATGTTCACATGCGTATACAAATTAAGATAAGCAGAAGCTATGACTCCATTTGGTAAAGTCATCTAAGTTTCTAGTTTATTGCTTATGCAAACACACACTGCTCGTTTCTGCTCTCTACAGTCAGAGGAACACTAGCTCATGTTCTTCTGGGTGAAGAACCTGTTATCTACGCCCTCCTGCCTTTTTCCATCACGTGTAGACTTCCAACGGCCCAAGGTTAACGTGACGCAAAGCCTTCACTGCCAGTGGGAACATCGGTGGCGTCACCAGAAACTCCAGTTCTGATGTGAGCTGAGCACGTCCACTCCCCTTCCTGCCGTCCATACGTGTCCCCCAGTCCCTGCTTCCTCCAGGGACCGCAGAGAGCAGCAGTCTGGCCAAGTAACGAAACAGTTTCACACATTTATCGGTGGGGAGAAAGTAGAACCTTTCAGTCATTTCAAAGATGGGCATTTCCCACAGCTGGCAATGAAGTACATGAGCGTTTGCAGAGTTATTATTTTTTTATTTCTTACGTCAGCCAGTAGCATTTTATGTAGAAAACAAAAGTAAATGCAACAGCGTGTGTGCCTGTGTGTGTATAAAAATAATTATACGGATCAGCATGCTGATGTACCCTCTGGGCCTCTTTCCCCTTTCCTCTAACATCTGAGAGCCGATTGCTTGACCAATGAGGTTTCTTCCAACTATAAGTCCCAACCACTTTTGTCAGACTGACACATGGTATTGACCTCTTCTTCTAGTTTTTTGGGGTCTTTTTTGTAAGTCATTTAGTCCATATACACAGACACAGGCACCATCAAAGATATTTTTTCTTAAAAATCAGGAGTTTAGTTCTTCTCTTATCGCTACCCTCCTTGTTTAATATTATGCTTTCTGACACCCTTTGAAGGAACCAATATTTGGACCTTATTTGAGGTCGTCTACCTCTAATAGAACAACAACAAAAACGATGCATGTACAGACATCCTTAAAATGACATTCCCCGCCCTAGGATTAAAAGCCAAATCTGTAGCAGTTATAGACAGTCAGTGGTCCTAGATCTCTAAAGGGGTCTCAGATGAAAAGGGAGCGAACGGACAGGGCCCCAGCACTGCTTCTGAAGACATACTTGAGTTTCCTTGCAGCTTCGATAGATGTGAGTGATTTGTCTAAAGACTTGCACTGTGTCTCACCTCAGACCTTGACATTCTCCCTGTGATAATAACAGTTGTGAATCATGATACACAAAACTGCTGCACCTAAGAGGGGCTATAAACCAACCAAAAAATCTCAGTGCTAAGGACTCCTTTGGGAGGCCTGCAGAGTTTATGTGGAAGGGGTTTGGGTTTGGGGTGAGTTAATTTTCTTTTAGTTTTTGTTCTTTCTTTTTTTTTTTTTTTTTTTAAAGTTTATGCTCTGCAGAGTGATATATATTTCACTGTTATGGTTTTGTTTTGTTTTCCTGTTTTAAGAAAAAGTTGATAGCCTTCCTGTAACATCATCATTGTGTGTGACATATGAACATACATAAATGAAGAAAAAATCTTGAAGAACAGTGAAATATAGTGAAGTGTGAATTAGTCCTGATGTTGTTTCATTGATTTGTGCAGAATTTAAGACTATTATATAATCACCTCGGTGGATAGAATCTTTTATGCATGACCTTTTAACCTTTGACTGTTTGCTTACTTCCCACTGCAAAGGGAAAGAGATTTTATGAAAGATTTTAGGCAGCATATCTATTTTATAAGATGAATCCCATTTGGAGGTAGCAAAGAGTATGTCTGTTTTGACTTGTGTTTAAATAAAATGGCTCCATCTGGCAGTGTGCTCCTCGCCTCATTTTCTGGGTCCCAGCTCTCTTTTTCTCTGTACCTCAGCTCCTAACCACAGTGGTGCCCACATCTCTGCCCACGGGAGTCCTCCAGCTGCCTGTCAAGAGAGGGGGCTCAGTGGCCTCCTTGATGACATTCATTTTATGTCTGGATACAGTATGTGCTGTTCATACTGGGGAAACCTATCAAATATACAGTTTTTTTTTAAAGTTCTTTAGAGACCACGGGGTGGGACCGTTGCATTCCTCTGGGCTGATGCTGTAGGAGGAGAGCGCTCCACCCAAGAAGGAGGGGCTTCGCAATGTGGGAGAGACGCTCTGCACAGAGGTCCTGGCGGCTGGCCCCAGAGCCGCAGGCCCCAGGGACTCTTCACTGGACTCTAGTCCGCTCTGCCCTCCCTCTGCCTGAGCCCAGGGGTGTCTTGGAAACCTGTACAAGGGACACCAAACCCAGACTTGAGGCTTTAGAGAAGGCAACTTCTCCACCCAGGATGGGGTCAAAATATTTCCATCATGGCTCATTCAAGGACGAGGACCAATGGTAGAAAATTACTTACCCTCCTACTGCCAAGGGGATCTCTGGTAAAATATCTGAAGAGGAGGTGGTAAGACGGTTAAAGGTGGTTGTGGAAAGTTTCATGGCTGTGGACCAAGACTCTGAAAAAAAACAGCTTTATTTAACAGTCCATCGCCTTAACCACTTGGCCACCTCGGCCCACGTACACCGAGCTTTATTTAACCTGGCTTTACATCTTGCTTCTGACTTTTTCCTCAAGCATCCTGATAAAGGTGTGCACCTATCAAACATCTGATACATTCCCCAGTACACTAAAGGCTATATTTATGTTTATAACAAGGCAGGTGAAGGGGTTAGAGGATACAAAGAGCCCACAATTCAACAGGTATTTTTATTGAGAACATTACTTAAGTCAAGACATATAGCATATGCTTTGAGTTAGAAGACAGCAATGACATTTTTACACAATTATACAGAACATCATTTTCAGTTACAAACAATAGCCACGATCTGAAAGTTTGTATGCACATGGTAGATCTCTTGAGTTCTGTTATTTATAAGGTGATCCAGTATCTCAGGAGCTTTGGCCCATAAGAATTTAAACAAGCAAGCATATGATGACAACGGCTTTACTGAAGAGGAGAGCTTAAGCTATTGCACCATTTATATACGTTCTGCGGATTGGGAAAACATCTATCAGAGAGTTGTCAGAGTGTGTTTGTGACTTAATGTGGGAGCTCTATAATACTGATAGTCATTTGTTGCCCTCAGTTTTATCCCAGCTTGAAATTATTTATTTATTTTAAAAACAACTTTATTAAGGTGTAATTTAACTCAGTCCTCATAACACTCACTCATTTAAGTGTCTGCTTTTAGTAAACTTACGACCTAGTTTTAGAACACTTCCATCACCACAGAAAGATTCCTTGTGCCAGTCTGCAGTCAATCCCCATTCTAATTTTTTCTGTCTGTACAGATTAGTGTTGTTTTTTTTAATCTTTATTGCTCAATGTATTGATGCTTCTCATTTTTCCCCTGTTGACCCCCTTCTCCCCACTCCCGCCCCCCTCCTGCCTTTTCCCACACTGTTGTCTGTGTCCATTAGTTATGCATATAAGTTCTTTGGTTTATTTATTTCCACACCCCAACCCCCCTTCCCTTTGAGGTTTGTCAGTCTAGCGACCAATTTGTACTTCTTAATCCCTTCACCTTTTTCACCCATTCCCCCAAAGCCCCTCCCATCTGGCAACCAACAAAATGTTCTCTGTATCTATGAGAATGTTTTTTTTCTGCCTGTTCATTTTGTTTGTAGATTCAATTGTCGATAGATATGTACTCATTGCCATTTTGTTTGTTCATATATTTTATCTTTTTCTTCAAAAAGACCCTTCATCATTTCATATAATAACGGTTTGGTAGTGATGAACTTCTTTAACTTTTTCTTGTCTGGGAAAGTCTTTATATGGCCATCGATTCTAAATGACAGCTTTGCAGGACAGAGTAACCTTGGTTGTAGGTTCTTGCTTTTTATCACTCTGAATATTTCTTGCCACTCCCTTCTGGTCTGCAAAGTTTCTTTTGAGAAATCAGCTGACAGTCTTATGGGCACTCTCTTGTACGTAATCAACTGCTTTTCTCTTGCTGCTTTTAAGATTCTCTCTTTGTCTTCAACCTTTTGCATTTTGATGATGATGTGTCTTGGTGTGGGGTTCTTTGGGTTCATCTTGTTTGGGACTCTCTGTGCTTCCTGGACTTGTATGTCTGTTTCCTTCACCAAGTTAGGGAATTTTTTTGCCATTATTGGTTCAAATAGGTTTTCAATTTCTTGTTCTCTCTCTTCTCCTTCTGGCACCTTCAAGATGCGAATGTTGGCATGCTTGAAGTTGTCCCAGAGGCTCCTTACACTATCCTCATTTTTTTTGGATTCTTTTT